AAAAAAAACCCATTACCCTTGAAGAATACATCTGTCTAAACAATTCAAAGAGTGACATTTCTAGGCAAACAACAAATTGAAATCACTGTCACTAAAATACCTCATTACAAGACCTTTTAAAGGATGTACTCCAGGAGGAAGAAACATGGTTGCAAAGGAAAGGACTGAAATGTAAAAAGGAAGAGTCAGCAAATAAATTGTTTAAAATGTAAGGGAATCTAAACAATGCCTTCAAGCACAACAATAATAATGTCCCATTAGAGTGGTTTAAAAACAGTTCAAAAACAATAGGTAGTTACATGTATGATGCTAGAGACATTATAAGAAAACTACAGACCAATATCTCTCATCATCAGGGACACAAAAATTCATAGCAAAATATTAGTAAGTAAATACAGCAAGATAAAAAAGTATAATTAATCATGACAATTGGGGTTTACCACTGTAATGCAAGGTTGAATCACATATCTAAATATCAAATTCTCTAAAATTCAATATAAAAAATAATATGCTGTATTAGTAGAAAGAAAAGTCAAATTATTAATAGATTCTTTAAAAGTATTTGATGTGTCAATACTCACTTATGATAAAAAAAACTCTCAGAAAACTAGGAATAGAAATAAGTAGAAATAAAAAGGATATATGAGAAACCTACAGATAATGTAATGGCGAAAGACAAACGCAAAGATGATCATTCTTACTGTGGATATTACACTGGAGAACCTAGCTAGTGAAATGAGTCAAGTGGAAAAATTAAAGGCATTTAGATGAAAAAGATGAAGTAAAATTCTCTTTCTCCACATGCAGACATGTTTTCTTCCACTAAGTAGAAAACTCTAAGAAAGCTGTAAAACAGGATATAAACACAATATACAAAACTCAACTGTAGTTTTTATTTACTAGCAATAAAAAAACAAAAAATGAAACAAACTGTTGCATTGTTTTCTTTAAAAATAAGCACTCAACATGCATAGGTTATACATGGGCATAACACGTATGTGAGTATGAATGTTATTTTATTGTTTTCTCCTTTTCCAAAAGCTAAGAGAAGCTAATGAATGATAAATAGTGAGTGAATGTGTGTGTGTGTACGCATGTGAAAGTGTGTTTGTAGGTGAGAACAGAGTGAAGTAGAGAAATATATAAAAGTGTGGATAGAGAAAAACATTTTACTTGATTTAAAGCAATAAACCAAAAATACAAAAAATAAGTATGTACAACAGTATTCCCTATAAATGAAATGATTCTTGATATTTTATTTAGCAAATGTTTGGATAGGGTGTAAATAAAGAATATTTTCTAAGACATTATGTGCTACAGTGGCCTCGAATATGTCTTTATTATGCTATAGTAATAAGTTAAACCAAACAGCACAAAAGTTAAATGGCTGGTGAATCTGATTATTTTGTCCTGATTGCAGAAACTATTTATTGAAAAATTCATATACTAGCATCCCAATAGACAAATTAAAATATTATATGACAAAAGTCCTCAAAGAAGAAACATAAGTGGCTAATAAACAGGAGAAAATGTTCAACATCATTTGTGGCAAAGACATACAGATTAAAACAACAATGAGATCCAATTAGCAATTTACATATTCAACTTAGCAATTTAAAATAAAATTATGAGGAATGCATAGAACCAAAACAGCCACTACTAAGTTTTCAGAACATTTGACCTCAAATTCTTCTTTGCAAAAATGAACTTATCCAAAAAATAATTTAAATGTTTTGTGCAAAAAAAAACCAAAACATGAAAACATTGAACCAAAATATTCACAATAAGTAAATGGCCTAGTAAATTAAAATACCTTGATACATTTTGAGATATTATTACGTGGTTATTGAAATTAGATGTTTGTAAGGAATGGGCATATATTATCATAATAGTTAACAGTTATGATACATAGAGTATAGATAACAATAGACTCTCAGAAACATTAAAATATGCATGGAAGATAGAAGAAAGGAAGAAAGTGCAGAAATATTAATAATGATTCTATCTAGTTGTTGGCATCACAGTGTTTTACATTCTTTTTAAACTTTTTAGAACAATACATATTATTTTTATGCTCAGAAGTAAGCTGTGTACTACTTAAAGAAAGAAATAACTGAATCCGACTTTCCTATCTTGGAAACATGCCTTTGTGACTGGCTCTGATAATGATGTCCAAAGGCTCTAATAATGCTATAGTCCTACTCACCACAGCCAGTGCAATCTTCACACCTGGTGGTTGATCATCTGGGTTACTCTAACACATTATGAAAAACAAAACACTACATTATTAAAGAAGTCCCATCCTTCATTTAATTTCCTGACAGTACCCTTTCTGCTCTATCCCCCTTCCTTTTCCCCTGCCACCTCCATCCCAATCCACCCTCAAACAGATTTATGCTGAAATTTATGCCCATTACCAAATAGCAGAGCTATTATTTAAAATTTTAACATGTCACTGAGATGAAGTAATTATTACTTTGACATTCAAGACCTTGGGATTAATATTTTAAAGTTACCATTGCTCATTTGCTATGTGAATGTTGGTGTCTGTATTTGGTAGGAGAATGAAACAGTATATATAGCCAAACAACAAAAGTAAATGGATAAAAATGGACTCATGATAAAAACCCTAAAGTACTTGAAATGCCTAAAAAATTCTTTCTTGTTCACATGCTATCAATTCAACTACATAGAACAAGCATTAGTGCCCCTATTATGTACCCTTGTAATGAATATGCAGGCTAATCTACCTAAGCAGATTGTATGCAGAAGTAATTTTCTGTCTCCCCAGAAGATCTACAAAAGAAATGAGCTTAAACTGGTATGATTAAATCTGACTTGATTTTTTAAAAAAATTGATATTCAATTGAAAGAATAATTAAATATTGGAAAGGTTTCCTATCAAGGTTGTGAACAGCTGAAAGAGTTGTAAAAATAAGACAAGCATTCAATAAAGATGGATGATTGTCTCAGTGCGAGGCAGGCTACAGAGTGGTAGCTAAGTCAGCTAAGCATTTGGATTCTCTTCGATCCTTAATTCTCAGATTTTTTTAATAGCTGTTTCATGGCCTCACTTTAACATCAAACATCAAAGAAAGTGGATCATTCAGTACAATCCAGCACAAAAGAGGATTAACATTTTATTTAAGGAACTATTCTAACAGCATGTATATACTGTAAAAAGACCATTCATTTTTTCCTTTAGAAGATGTTTAGTGAGCACCTACCGGCTGCCAAGCACTGATCTTAGGAGCTAAGGAGTTATAGAAAGCATATGCCTTCATACAACTTACATGCTAGTGGGGGATACAGACAAAAAAGAGATAAACAAAAATATGTAATATATAAGTGTAATAACAAACACAGTTTTAGAGAAGAGACAAAGGAAAATGTGGCTGCTATTTTAGTTAACACTGAGCAATAGAGAGATAGAATCTGTTTGAGAAGCAACATTTGGACAGAGATCTGATTAAACGAGGAAGCAAGCTCTGCAAATATCTGAAGGAAAAGAATTCCAGGTAGAGATCGGTGTCACAGAGCGTGGATTGGCTTTCAGGATCAAGGAAGAAATAGGCACGGGGGATTGGTCGGAAGTGTGCTCAGTCAAGTAAACAGGAGCTAGACAAGTAGAGTCTCATTGTCCATTGTAAAGGTTTAAAATATTTCTTTAAATATAACGGGACTCCACTAGAAAGCTGAGAGAAGGAGAATGACATAATCTGATTTATGACTTGTAAAAAAACTGCTTTGGCTGCTATATAAAGAATAGATTTGGGAGAAGGGTGGAGTCAGGGAGATGATACAAGAGACTGCTGAAATAATTCAGGTGAGAAATGGTGTGGCTTATACCAGAGGCGCAGCAACAAAGAGGGGTGAGAAGTGATTAAGCTCTCTCTATATTTTAAGATATAAGTAACAGATTTACTAAAAGATGAGATGTGAGCTATGAGAAAAAAGAGAAGAGCCAAGGATGATTTTAAGATTTTTGGTCTGAGCTACTAAAGAGGTGCTAACAACGGAGAGGGGGACAGCTAATGGTGGTGCTCATGTGGGAGGAGAGTGAGATCAGGAGCAAAGTTTTCCATATGCTGAGTTCGAGAATTCTATTAGTTGCCCTACTAGAGTGTCAAAGAGGTAAATGTGAAGAATGTGGCACTAGTGTAGAGGTTTGGGCTGGAAGTATTAATCTGGAGGTTGCCAGTGTATACAGATGCTATTTTGGTACATTTGATAAGCAAATCGCCTAGTAAGAGTGCAGATATAGAAGGGATCAAAGGTTTAGTCTGGAAGGAGATATGCCAGCATTTATGGTTATGGGAATGAGAAGCCAGTAATAAAAATTGAGAAGACACTGCTGGTGAGACAGGAGGAAAACAAGGAAAATATGTGTTTCAGGAGCTAGGCAAAAAACTTTTTAAATAAGGACAGAGTGATCAAAGTGTCCAATTTTTTTGACATGTAAAGTAAATGAACAATGAGAAATGACATGGGTTCCAATGAGATGGGAGACTGTTGGATTGCAGTGTCAACTGAAGCATTTCAATGCAGTGGTAGGAAAGAAAATGCTATTGAAATGGGATCAAGACATAAAGGGAGATAACAGGGAGCACAGACAGTGCTCTAGAGTTTTACTATTAATACAAAAGAGGGCAGAGAAGCCAGAAACAGATCCAGGATCAAGGGCACCAAGCTGGGAAACCCCCTAGGAATCCTAAGATCTCTCTGTTTAGAAAACAAAACAAAACAAAATAAGTAAAAAGTATTACAACAATTATTGCCTTATTTGATGTAAAATGGAATAATATTTCCTGTATCCTCCCATTATTCCATAGACCTGCACTAACAATAGAGGAATTAATGAAAAAACTGTATACAGCATGTAGTTCTATTTCCTGTAAGAGTATTTCATTAAGGACATTTTATACATGAGGAAACTGAGACAAAAGAGACTAAGAGACTCGCCTAATATCATGCAACCACAGTAGCAAAGTAGAATTTGGTCTAGGTTGTCTGACTATGGACTATACACACTCGTCTCCTTGAAGAAGTGAACACGGTCCCTTATATACTGGTTACGGAAATTGCAGTGTAGGAAATAAACAGTAACGTGACAGTAAATAAATGGAGGAGAGGCTCCCTTAAATAGGGACCAGGGACTCCAGAGGCACAACTTAGATTTAAGAATTAAATAAAACCCAGACATTCAGAGGCCAAAGGGCAGAGTCTCCAGGTAGGAGAAATACAAAATGCAAAATCTCTGACATGGAAATAACCTGACATTTTCTTGCAGTATATCGGAGGCCAGCCCAGGATGCTTGAAGCACAAAGAACAGGAAGGTTAAAAAATGAGGTTAGAGAGACAGGCAGAAGCCAGATCATGTCTGGCTCATTGAGCCACAGTAAACTGTGTGGCTTTTAAGTGCAGGTGAAGGATCATTTTTAATGCTCCACATTGGCTACAAACTGTATGTCCCATCTCTTGATGGTATATGGCAACATGCTTTTTCTCTTCAAATCTCCAATCTAACTTAATTTTATCTTTTATAATGTCATCCAATTTCTTCCCTCATCAAAAATCAAAAAAAGAACAATAGTTTATTGAATTGCTACCTTTTTGAAAAACAATTCTGGAAAAATTTAACACAAACAAATAAGTTTAATATTCTTTTTCTGGTTAGAGTAGACAAACTTCAGGTTCTAACCTTGACATTGCCCTCACATATGCAGCTAGTCCTCAGAAAAACACTTGACCTTATAATACCACCATTTCTTCAAATTTTAGGGGAAAAAAGCACAAGGTTTAGAGTGATTATATAAGATTATGAATAAAAATATATAAAAATTATATATCAGTGTACATGATTATGTTATGAAAAAAGCATGCAATATGGAGTAAAATAAAATATTTTGGTTAATACACGATTCTGAAAATAAAGTTTTATTATTTATGATTTTGTGAAAAGGAAGTCAAATTATTAGTCAAAGTTATCTGAGTAAAAACATCTTTTATAAAGAAATGTCAACACAATTTTCAGTTTTGATCTAGAAAAATAATCATAAATGTACTAGTTTTTATTCATATAAAACGAAGTTATAAATCACAAAAGGGAGAAACGTATTTGCATCAAAGATAATGGATAAAGATTTAATATCTTTAGCTCTTTCCCATCTTGCAAGATGGCGGGTGAAAAAGTTGAGAAGCCAGATACTAAAGTGAAGAAACCAGAAGCCAAGAAGGCTGATGCTGGTGGCAAGGTGAAAAAGGGTCAAGGCTAAAAAGCCCAAGAAGGGGAAGCCCCATTGCAGCTGCAATCCTGTCCTTGTTACAGGAATTGGCAGGTATTCCCAGTCTACCATGTATTCCATAAAGGTCATGTACAAGAGGAAGTACTCAGCTGCTAAATCCAAGGTTGAAAAGAAAAAGGAGAAGGTTCTTGCAACTGTTACAAAACCAGCTGGTAGTGACAAGAACGGTGGTATCTGGGTGGCTAAACTTTGCAAAATGCCTACATATTATCCTACTGAAGATATGCCTCAAAAGCTATTGAGCAGTGGCAAAAAACCCTTCAGTCAGCATGTGAGAAAACTGTGAGCCAGCATTACCCCTGGGACCATTCTGATCATCTGACACCACAGGAGCAAGAGCGTGGTTTTACTGAAGCAACTGGCTAGTGGCTTGTTACTTGTGACTGGACCTCTGGTCCTCAATCCAGTTCCTTTACAAATAACACAACAGAAATTTGATATCAATTTTGCTATCAACCAAATTTGGTATCAACCAAAGTTGATATCAGCAATGTAAAAATCCCAAAACATCTTACTGATGCTCACTTCAAGAAGCAGCTGCAGCAGAAGCCCAGACACCAGGAAGGTGAGATCTTCGACACAGAAAAAGAGAAATATGAGATTACAGAGCAGTGCAAGATTGATCAGAAACCTGTGGACTCACAAATTTTACCAAAAATCTAATCTATTCCTCAGCTCCAGGGCTACCTGTGATCTGTGTTTGCCCTGACAAATGGAATTTATCCTCAAAAATCGGTGTTCTAAATGTCTTAAGAACCTAATTAAATAACTGATTACCTTTAAAAAACACAAAAAAAGATTTAATATCTTTAATATGAAGAAAAATGATTAAAATCAAGAAAACACTGAAGCCAACAGGAAAAAAATGTGCAAAGCACATAATAGATTCTTCCAAGTTCATAATATTGAGAGAGTGGTGTGAGATGGGCAACTTTAAACAACACTGATATGGTTTGGCTGCCTGAAATCCATATAAAAAAGACATTAACCTTTCATACCATTAACCATGGTAGTTTCATATTTAGGAATTTTCTCCCAAGAAATCAGAAATGGGGAAAAAGGAAAAGTAGAAGGACTATAAATATCATATTATAGGATACGATTACCTAAGTTATGATAAATCCCTAAGTTGTAATAAATGCAGATATTAAATAAATGTATTAGAAGATAATAGGGAAATGCTCTTTATTTAAATGAATTAGAAACAGTATATATAGTATATGTAAATGATATAGTTGAATGCAAATTCTTTAATATAATAATCTGCATTCAAATGTATACTCATAAAAAATTCTGAAAGGAAATGCAAGAAAATGTTATAAGTAGTAGGAATATATGTAATTTATATTATCTTTACTGTTTTCTAAATACTGACAAAGACCATGAACTGAATTTACAATTAGTTAAAAAGAACAATATATAACCATAAATCATGAAATGAAGTACAGCTGTCAAAATACTCTAACTAAGCGTTGATACCATAAAATGCAAATAACATCTGTGTATGCACACCTATGCATGAGTTATTGGGCACTCATGCCTATGAGAGAGGTGAGCATATACACACATACACAAATTGTACATGACACAATGATGTAACACTATACATATTTATGGGCACTTGAATGAAAAAATAGGCCTAATTATTATTTCTTTATAAACATGTATATCTCAAATTCTATTTACTGAGTTTGTCTAATAGTCTAATACAGGGGTTGATAAGTATGGCCTATAGGTTATGTCTGGCCCATGCTTCTTTATACATTGTCTATACCTGCTTTCTACTACAACAGCAGAATTGAACATTTGTGACAAAGATGTTATAGCTCATAAAGCCCAACATATTTACAATATGACTCTTTACAGGAAATGCTAACTCCTGATCTAATAGTCCAACAGAGTTGTATACCTTTGTAAGCAAACATGATATTAAATTAGGTAAAAAATATATTTTCATATGATTTATACTATAAATCCATTAAAATAAAGTTATTAATAGTTAAAACAACATGGTATTTATATGGTAACATTAAGTTTTTAAAAGTGAAGGTAAAATTGTATATATAACAATCAAAAGACAACATATAATCTATGACTAGACAAAGGAAAATTAAATACAGCAAAATTTTAAAAGTGGTGATTTATGAGGACTAAGAATGAGTGACTTCCTTCTTTTATATAAGTTAGAAATTTTTCTCAATTATATCATAATGAATACATTTCACTTTTATAATGGAGAAAATGTTCAATGAAATCATTTTTAAAATGCAAGACATAATCATCAAAACATTCATTTTGGATCATACCCATAAAAAGTATAAACTTCGCTTTTTGAAATTAAATAGTAGACTAAAAAATGAAATAGCTGAACATTAAATAACTAGTTTAGAGAATTAAATTACCCCATGCTACGTGGTTTATTGATAGGTTTTATTCTCCAGGGGAAACAGGGAAATTTAAATTAAGTGCCTATTCTGAGACTCTCTAAAGTCTTTGTACTGTGGAAGTTTATACTTAAAAAATTGAGTCAAGGGGAAAAAGGTAACAGATAACCTTAAACAGCAATTAATTGGTTGTTTCCTCATTATTTACCTATGATCCATGGTTCTGTATTTATGCCTTAAATGAACATTTAATAGAGGCATAGCTTTGCTGCCTGAATTTTTTTTTAAGCCTATATACTTCAAGTATGAGAACAGGAATTTCTTATTTTGTATAAACTAAGTTTAAAAACATAGTTATGGTAGTGCTAAACATAGATGATGTATCCATAATATGAATGTACCTGTCATACAAGAGGTCTCCCAATGTTTCACTGCAATTTAGTCCTATTGTAATAAAATTCAGTTCTATAACTGGTAAAGAGCTGGCACTGTAAAATTTAGTATGTGATTGAGAAGCAAGTTGCAGAAGGTGCTATGATCGGTCCTAAGAATTATGTAATTATGTATAGAAGAAAACTTTACAAATGGAAACTGTCAGATGTTTTCCCTCTAAAAATGAAACTATCTCTACTTTCTTTGAGTTAGGTAGGTCAAAATGTTGGCTGAACATTTCTTTAAAAGAATTTGCAGTGATTCACATGCTTACTGGGCCAAATTATTGTAGGAATAAAGTCAATAAAAACCAAAATAGGAATCAGGCAAACACCAATTCTCACTTCTATAAGTGAGATTTATGAACACACATATGAAAATCTAAGATTTAGATATTTAAGAGTGTAAAATCATTCATTTACATAATTTAGTTTTGAAAAAAATCTATTATAGGTAGTTGTTTTGCTCAACCATTCAGAATAATGTATTAAATATATCTTCCAACTGGAAAAAAAATGAGTTTTAAAAGAATTTTTATCCAGGAAGTATAAAAGGAAAAATCTGTATATTGTGCTTCATAAAAGTATTTACATAAATTAAAAGTATATATAGTAAAATGACAAACTGGAAAAACATTTGTAAATCATATCATGGATCAAGGGTCAATTTCTTCAAGTTATTAAGGACTTACAAGTGAGTAAAAATAGGCTAATAACTAAATTTTCAAATGCACAAAAATATAAAACAGAAGAGCAAAATTATGTTTCTTCAAATATGAAAAGATAATCTTATGGATAATATGGTTAATGCAAATTAGAACTATAATAAAAATTCTAGTTGGTGAATGTGTTTCTTGTTCTGTCACCCACGCTGGAATGCAGTGGCACAATCTTGGTCCACTGCAACCTCCACCTTCCAGATGCAAGCATTTCTCGTGCCTTAGCCTCCTGAATAGCTGGGAGTACAGGCACCAGATGCATGCCACCATGCTTGGCTAATTTTAGTGTTTTTTTGTTTGTTTGTTTGTTTATTAGCAGAGCCAGGGTTTCACCATGTTGGCCAGACTTGGTCTCAAGCTCCCAACCACAAGTAGTTACCTGCCTTGGCCTCCCAAATTGTTGGGATTATAGGCGTGAGCCACTGCACCCAGCCAGTAAATTTGTTTCTTATAGAAATATAGTTTAGGCCGGGCGCGGTGGCTCAAGCCTGTAATCCCAGCACTTTGGGAGGCTGAGGCGGGTGGATCACGAGGTCAAGAGATCGAGACCATCCTGGTCAACATGGTGAAACCCCGTCTCTACTAAAAATCAAAAAACATTAGCTGGGCATGGTGGTGCACGCCTGTAATCCCAGCTATTGAGGAGGCTGAGGCAGGAGAATTGCCTGAACCCAGGACGCGGAGGTTGCGGTGAGCCGAGATCGCGCCATTGCACTCCAGCCTGGGTAACAAGAGTGAAATTCCGTCTCAAAAAAAAAAAAAAAAAAAAAAGAAATATAGTTTATAATTCTGAAATGGCTTCATGTGTATTGTAGGGCTGGCAAATAAGTAAACGGATGTTGGATGATGACAGCTATGTTGTTCATACCCTCAGAGATGGAAGTTACAGAGAAACAAAAAAGAAAGACTAGAATGTACTACTGGATAAGAGTTGGAGACATAAACAGGAATTCATGTTTTACCTTAATATATAAAACAGAGGGATAGAGACATAATTATAGATATATGTGTATACATGTGTATACATATGTGTATACCTAACTCTGTGCACTAAGATGGCTTTCAAGCAATCACTTTCCTGTAGCAACAAACATATCCAGTACCCAGATTTTCATTTACAAATATCATTCTCCAATAATGGGAACCAGGAGTCCTTGGAGAAATGATTGACTGCAGGCACAGCAAGGAAAACACAAGATGTTCCAGGAGCATCTTGAACCAGAAAATAAAGAAGTGCTCAACTAACAAAATGTTGGGGACTATGTCAGCAGAACATAGGTGCCAACGTGAAAGAGGTTCCACCAGGCTAGATGGCTTACATCTGTAATTTCAACACTTTGCGAGGCCAAGACAGAAGGATTACTTAACACTTAAGCTCAGGAGTTTGAGACCTGCCTGGGCAACACAGAGAGACCCTGTCTGTACAAAAAATTAAAAAAAAGAAAATTAGCCAGGTGTGTGGCACGTACTGATGGTCTCAGCTACTTGGGAGGCTAAAGTTGGGAGGATCACTTGAGCTCAGGAGGTCAAGGCTGCAGTGAGCTGTAACATGTCGCTGCATTCCAGCCTGTGTGACAAAGTGAGACCCTATCTCAAAAATAATAAAAAAATAAATAAAAATAAAAAATAAAAAATTGAAAGAACTCCCAGTGGCTACATCTGCAAGAATCTGAGCAACAAAATAAACAGCAGAGTGTTGGATTATGACCTAAAGTTATTTAATATACACGAGTCTATAGCAATATAAATGACTGAATAAATATATAAGTGAGAGGGAAAATACAAATGTATCTTTGCAATATTTATGTAAATTTAAAAATATTCCAATATCAGTTTATTAAAATATTGTTTATAAGGAATAATAAATGTAAAAGGTTCTAAATATTTTGCTAAATACATAAAAGCAGACTTAAAAATGAAATAGACAATATGATTCTAATTTAGAAAATACTGTAAAAACATACCAAACCAGCCAACAAACAAAAACTACAGCAAAACACAATTTCCTTTCTCAAAGGCTGACAAATATCAAAATATTGATAATACGCTCAGTTGTTCAGGGTATGTAGAAACATTCTGATACAGAGACATGTTGAAGTGAGTGTATAATTGCCATCAATTGTCAGGGAAGGTAATACAAACACGTGTTAACTGAAAATGTACCTACCATTTTATCAAAGAGTTCTCCTAATAATTTATCTTGCAGATGCTTTTGCACATATGGGAAATGACATATGCACATAA